TCGCACGCCCCGTGGCGTGCGACGGATTTTTCATCCCGCCGCGCGCTCGGAGCGTGCGGCGGTTTTCTGCCCGCCGTGCGCCCCGAGGCGCGCGGCGGTTTTCTGCCCGCCGTGCGCCCCGAGGCGCGCGGCGGTTGTCTGCCCACCGTGCGCCCCGAGGCGCGCGGCGGGTTTCTGCCCCGTCACTCCGCGCGTCGCTCCCGGGAGGCGCTGCGACGGGCGACGGGGACCCGCGCGTCGCCCCCCGTCGCCCGTCGTGGCCTGCGCGCGGCTCGTACAGCCTGCGCGCGGCCCGTACGGGCTGCGCCAGGCCCGCGCGCGGCCCGTACGGGCTGCGCCAGGCCCGCGCGCGGCTCGGGCCGCCTGCGCGCGGTTCGGGCGGCTGTGCCAGGCCCGTGGGCGGCCCGTTCTTCGCTGCCCCTGCGCTGCCCGCTGTCCCCCGTGCTTCTGATGGCGCCCCACCCCTGCTGCTGCCCGTTCTCCTGAATTAGGGTTTGGGGGTGGGGGGTATGGGGGTGCAGCTTCTGTGTGCCGTCCCCTGCTCCTCCTCCTACTCCGTCTCCCAGTGCTGCAGCTGCCGCTGAGGGGGGTGGACCTGTTGGAGCCGTCGGAGTGGTACTAAGGGGGGTGAAGGGGGAGTGGAGCTAGGGGTGAAGCAGGGGGTGTGTGTCAGGGGGAGTGGGACTGTTTGGGGAGGTTGAACTGAGGTTGCCGTCGTGTCGCCAACAGCACCTGTAGTCCGGGGAGTTGCTCCGGTAGCCCAGTCGCAGCCAGCTGTGCCAGTCGCCCGTGGGTCCGTTGCTCGTCTGCCGCTACTTTTAGCCGCGGAGCCAGTTACTCCTGTAGTCCGGAGCGTTGTTCCGGTAGCCGCTGTGCCAGTGTGACTCCTGTTGCCCGTGTGTCTGCAGCTTCAGCCGTCGCCTCCTATCTCCTCTCCTCTCACTCTCGCCTCCTCCTCCTCACTTGCCCTCTGCGATAGCCTCTAGCTTTGCTCATAATTGTGAACTTTAAACTATTGCTTCTTGTACTTGTGCTCAGAATGTGTGGTGACATTGTGATCCACCCTGAGCTTGTTCTGCTTTGCTTGCTCTGCTGATTACACCCCACTTTGGCTATAGGGGTGTGTCAGAATGTCTTTGTTCTCTAGCCTGCAGTGGGGTACTCTATAGCGAGTACAACCCCTTAGGGTTTCCTATATGTATCCTGCTGCTTTCTAGTGAACCTCCTCTCTCTCCCTCTTCTTCTTCATTCTAAACTTCTCTACCTTCTAATTTTGTCAGGTGGTTCAAAGAGAAAAGTGCCGACTGATTCTTGACCTCCGAAGGGTGAACCAAAATTTGTGTATCCCCAAATTCAAGTACGAAGGACTGAACCGGGTGGCAGAGCTCGTTCATGAAGACGACTGGATGTTTGCAGTCGATTTAAAATCAGGATACCACCACGTTGACATCCACCCTTCCTACTGGAAGTTCCTCGGGTTCCAATTTGATGGGCGCTCGTACGTCTTTCGATCTCTGCCATTCGGGCTGGCGACAGCCCCGTTCGTTTTCACACAGCTCATCAAGCAGCTCGCCCGTCGTTGGCGGGCTCTCGGGGTGCGAGTCATCCCTTACGTCGACGACATCCTTTTTCTGTGTCGCACGGCAGCAGAAGCGCGAACCACGGGTCAGATGGTGGTGCAAGACCTCAGCAAGGCTGGACTGGTTATCAATTCCAAGAAGTCGCACTTGCAACCCACCCAGCAGCTACGGTTTTTGGGTGTCGAGCTGGATACACAGCGCGGCCAGTTCTCCATTGGTCCCGAGCGGCGAGCATCGTTACATTCAACCATTCGCGAATTATGCATGGCTGGCAAGGCCGAACGCAAAGTCCCGATCCGCCACGCAGCCAGAGTTACCGGCATGCTCGCGTCGATGTCGCTTGCCATCGGCGCAACCACGCGCGCATTCAGCCAGAATCTACTACAGACCATTCAGGATGCCCCTTCCTGGAACAACAAAGTGCAGTTGGTCCCTGCGGTCATCGAAGAGCTCGAGTTTTGGCTACATGAATTTGACAGATTCAATGGAGCCCCATTCCATGTCCCGAACAGCTATGACGCAGTAATCCATGTGGACGCCAGCGCACACAGCTGGGGAGCGACACTAGATATGTTTCCAGGGAGGCGAATCGAGGCGAGCGCGACCATGCCCGTGCACCTCACGACAGCCTCCAGCACACAACGGGAAATGGACGGAGTCCTATGGGCATTGCAGACATTCTCGGGAAGGATCCAGCACCGACATGTCCTCGCCAGAACCGACAATCAAGGTGTCTTCTTTATTCTTCGCAAAGGTGGTTCTCGGACCCCGAGCCTCACAACAACGTGCAGAGCCATCATTCAAGCATGCGTCACCTTTGGGATCCGGTTGACAGTTGAATGGATTCCGCGCGAACTCAACACACGAGCGGATGAACTTTCAAAGATGATCGATCGCGACGACTACGCAATCAAAGCACCATGGTTCCGGCTCATCGAGCGGCGCTTGGGACCGCACTCAATCGATTTATTTGCCAATGCGAACAACACCCAGCTGGCTCGCTTCTGCTCCAAAACTCCTCACCCTGACGCAGAGGCAACGGACGCCTTCTCCATATCATGGGCCCCCGAGCATGCATATGCGTTTCCGCCACCCCACCTCATCCCAGCGGTGTTGCATCACGCCCAAAGGACGCGAGCATCGCTCACGCTCGTCGTGCCTCATTGGCCAGGGGCAAGCTGGTGGCCGTTACTACAACCCGCCCCGCCCCCAATGGGCCGCCTGCATTCTCGCTCATATCTGCCTCACCCATGGGAGCGAGTGCCTGACCGCAGGCACCCACACTCACGCATTTTCTGGGGAAGGATTGCCTCATAGCCCGATTCTTGCATTACAAGTGTCCTTCGCCACCTGACCATTCACACATCTGGTGCAGGATTGCTCGAGCGGCTCAAGCAAGAGTTGCTTCGGATAACGACGCATACAAGGGCTGACTCCACCATTCGCACCTACGAACCATACTGGGCCAAGTTCCGAGCATTCTGCATAGACGTGAAACTGCAGTTCCTGCCATGCACAGACATGACACTCGCATTATACCTGGTCCACGCGATTCAACAGAAGGCCACCATATCAGCAATACAACTGACATGCTCGGCAGTCAGCTTCGCGCATCGGATGATTGGGGCCACGTGCCCGTCGACCGGGCCGTTCACATCCAATGTGCGAGACTTCGCCAAGCGACATTTGTCAGAGGTCCACTGGTGATCCCCGATTGATCCTAGGGAAGGGTTACAGGCTCGTTGTCCTGGGGGGTTATGGGCGCACTGACCCGCTACTTAACAAGCCCTTTTATCCCAATGGTCTAGTGGTTGGGATTCTGACATGGTATCAGAGCGAAGGTCTCGGGTTCGAATCCCAGTGTGTGCATTTCGGGCATCCCAGTGCGGGGGGGTGTCAGAGGTCCACTGGTGATCCCCGATTGATCCTAGGGAAGGGTTACAGGCTCGTTGTCCTGGGGGGTTATGGGCGCACTGATCCGCTACTTAACAAGCCCTTTTATCCCAATGGTCTAGTGGTTGGGATTCTGACAACATTGTCCGCGACCTCAACGACTCAAGGATCCCGTCTCGCTGCATCAAGTACATGCAATGGCGGCGGAATTCCTGAAATCGAACAACCCGGGCGAGTTTCAGAAGGGGCTCATCCCACTACTCATGTACGCCGGCTTCCTGCGATACTCAGACCTCGTCGCACTCAATTGGCACGAGATTGGGTTCGAGAAAGACGCTATGTGGCTCCTGATCCCCCACTCTAAAACAGACCAGGCAGGAGAAGGCGCATGGGTCCCAGTAGCCGCCAGTCCGGGCCCTTTCTGCCCCGTACAATGCACCAAACGCTTCATCCAGTTGGCAGGCTATGGCCGCGCACAATACGGCCCGTTGATACGAGTCTTTGGTTCAGACACTACGGGTCGCGTTAGTACGACAACACCACCCTCCTATACAACAATCCGCAATTGGTGCAAGGAGGCATTTCACAAGATTGGCCTAGGACTCGAGCACCTCGGAACCCACTAATTCCGCAAAGGCGCAGCAACCGTCGCCGCCAACGCAGGAGTACCTGATCGCATTTTGAAACAGCTGGGGAGGTGGCGCAGCGATACGGCCAAGGAGATGTACATCACTCCGGCGATAGAACAGTTGGTTGGAGCATCTCGACATGTCCAAGATCCGGCGAGAGCCTCGTCACCGACGCAACACTCCGCGGCGCTGACACGACATCGCCAACCAGCACGACACATGTCTCAGAAGACCCATTTGAAATGAGACGATGCCAATTGCTACATGCAAGAAAGCAAGCTTTCTAAATATGTATATTTTTAAAAGCTGTAACGCTTTTCAAAATTATGTATTTTGAAAGCGAAGCTGCTTGTAATGTAGGATTTGGCAGCGTCGAGCCGCGCTAAACGCCCGTTTTGGAGTACAAAACGTGGGCTGGAGGTCATTTCCCTCCACCCACGTCTCTCATTTTCAAACGGTTTAGCCGATTTTCCCGTCCCCCCCCCCTCGGAAACAGGATAGCCGTAGGAACATAGAGGCATATCTTTGTAATATCACTATGGATTTCAATTGTACTAAACCCATTTGAAATGAGACGATGCCAATTGCCATTTGAAATGAGACGATGCCAATTGCTACATGCAAGAAAGCAAGCTTTCTAAATATACTCTACACAAGGCATTTCAGCACAGCAAAGCACGCGCCTGTGAAGCAGCAAGAACCAAGTACGTAGCCTACCCTACCCAGCATGGTAATATGCCAAATGAAAGCTTAACACTACGAGACCAGAGCAAGAGGCATGCTCAAGCAGCCGCAGCTATCAGCCCAACCCAAACCAAGCTACAAAATAAAAAGGTTCACTTACTGTCACCAACCCTCAACAGCTAGAGTAGGATTGCAATCGCAACAACAGCAACAGTTACCAGCAGAGCAGCACGGGACCCGTGCAGTGCTGCAGTTGCTGCTGCTCCTTTACCACCCCCAGCATTGCTACTCCCAGAGCCAGCACCGGTGTCAGTGCCGGTGGTGGTGGCGGCGGTGGCAGTGGCGGTGGCAGTGCCGGCGGTAGTGGTGGTGTTGGTGGTGCAATTGGTGGGTGGTGCAAGTGGGTCTGGTGTGGTGCTGATGGGGACTGAGATGCTCTCTGAAGGGATGTCGGCGAGAGAGAGCGCGGTACTGTGGAACACATGGGTGCATGGGAATAAGGGCACATGGGAATATGGGAACATGGGAACATGGGAATAAGGGCACATGGGAATAAGGGCACATGGGAATATGGGAACATGGGAACATGGGAACATGGGAATATGGGCATATGGGAACATGGGAACATGGGAACATGGGAATATGGGAATATGGGAACATGGGAACATGGGAACATGGGAACATGGGAACATGGGAATAAGGGCACATGGGAATATGGGAACATGGGAACATGGGAATAAGGGCACATGGGAATATGGGAACATGGGAACATGGGAATAAGGGCACATGGGAATATGGGAACATGGGAACATGGGAACATGGGAATATGGGAACATGGGAACATGGGAATATGGGAATATGGGAATATGGGAATATGGGAATATGGGAATATGGGAAATTGGGAATGTGAACACACGGGAGCATGAGAATATGGGAAGATGGCAAGATGGGTACAGGGGCATATGAACACAGGCACTGGATCAGCTAACGGGCAGGAGAAAAAACTTACGCGCTCGGGCAGCCGTGCAGCACAGTGAGGGGCTGGCTCTGCCCGTAGGTGATGTTGCACTTGGAGAACCCCAGCTTCACCCTCTCCCTGTCGGTACCCTGATGGCAGGAGGGGGAGGTGAGGAGAGGAGGGGGGCAGAGAGGGCTATTGAGGCGACTCAATAGAGGGGCTGGCTCTGCCCGTAGGTGATGTTGCACTCGGAGAACCCCAGCTTCATCCTCTCCCTGTCGGTACCCTGGTGAGGGGATGGGGAGGAGAGGAGCGGCAACAGAGAGGGGGAGGGGAGGAGAGGATGGGGGATAGAGAGGGGGATGGCAGGTGGGGGGAGGGGAGGAGAGGATGGGGGATAGAGAGGGGGATGGCAGGTGGGGGGAGGGGAGGAGAAGGGGCATGGGTTGAGTGTGGGGTTCACATAGGGGCAGATACACGAGGTATGGTTTGGTGTTGTTGGTGATGCTGCGAAGCTAGTAAGAACCATGTGACAGTAAATTTGTGTTGAGATGTCTCAAAACAAACTGACGTTCTACATAGGAGCCCGTACCCAAGGTATGCTTAGGTGATAAAAGGGAGTCTTTGAGACGTGTCAAAAACATGGGAGCGCAGCGCATACCCAAGGTATGGTTCGGGGTTCTTTATGATGCTCCAAAGCTAGTGAGAACCACTGAGCCTAATGAGAGCATGTCGAGCCTAGCGAGAACGCACCGAGCCTAGCAAGAACGCACCGAGCCTAACAAGAACGCACCGAGCCTAGCAAGAACGCACCGAGCCTAGCAAGAACGCACCGAGCCTAGCAAGAACGCACCGAGCCTAGCGAGAACGCACCGAGCCTAGCAAGAACGCACCGAGCCTAGCAAGAACGCACCGAGCCTAGCAAGAACGCACCGAGCCTAGCAAGAACGCACCGAGCCTAGCGAGAACGCACCGAGCCTAGCAAGAACGCACCGAGCCTAGCAAGAACGCACCGAGCCTAGCAAGAACGCACCGAGCCTAGCAAGAACGCACCGAGCCTAGCAAGAACGCACCGAGCCTAGCAAGAACGCACCGAGCCTTTCAAGACCCCACCGAGCCTAGCAAGAACGCACCGAGCCTTTCAAGACCCCACCGAGCCTAGCAAGAACCTACCGGGCCACAGACGGCAAAACTCATGAGCTTGGGGCTGGCAGGGTCCAGGTTGAGTTTTCCCTCGGATATGTCGGCACACATGGCCACACATGAGCGCATCTCTGCAGTTCAGGCACACACAACACACAGTGGTGGCAGAGATTGGGGGGGGAGACACAGGGGTTGAGAGGTGCAGGGTCCAGGTTGAGCTTTCCCTCGGATATGCCGGCACACATGGCCACACATGAGCGCATCTCTGCCATTACAACACGCAGGAGTCAGGGTGAGAGGCATGGTTGTCAAAATATGTTAGTATATATTTTATATAACTGCTTGTAGTTTAGAACAGTGTAGTTATATTGTTTATTGTTTGGTGGTGCACCCTTGTTTCTTGCCTATATCTTGTACTCAACTCTTTTAATGAAACCCCTTTTGGCCAACTCTTGCTCCCAGTCTTCTCAATATGATCCTTGCCTCTCGTTCTACCCTAGTTCCTAAGTCCTAGTTAATCTCGTTATATGACAATGGTGTTGCAACAGGGGGAGAGGCATGGCATTGAGTGTTCCTTGGGCAAGAAAAAGCAGATAGGCTGAGAGAGAGAGAGAGATACACGACGATTCACAGAGGGTATGCAGAGCACATCCAAAAAGGGCACTACACAAATGGCTTCACCTCGCCTGTTCTTATCTGTGAAAGGGCCTCACCTCGTTTGTCAGTATGTGCCAGACGGCCTCACCTCGCTTGTCAGTATGTGCCACACGGCCTCACCTCGCTTGTCAGTATGTGCCAGACGGCCTCACCTCGCTTGTCAGTATGTGCCAGACGGCCTCACCTCGCTTGTCTCTATATGCTGGGTAGTAGAGAAGAAAGGTGATGCACATCTCGTCGTTGCTGGCCTCTCCTCCCATTGTCACCTGTGGGGTGGGATGGCATGGCATGGCAAGTGATAATGGCACAGGGCGGAGTGTTTGAGTCGACTCTAAAGTCACCTCGGGTAGTAGAGAAGGAAGCTGATGCACATCTCCTCCTTGCTGGCCTCGCCCCCTATTGTCACCTGTGGGGTGGCATGGCATGGCATGGGGTGGAATGGCATGGGCGTGAGATGGCTTGGGGGGCGTGAGATGGCATGGTGTGCGTGAGATGGCATGGGGTGCGTGAGATGGCATGGCATGTGACTGTGTCGGATGGGATGGGATGGGATGGTAAGGCATGGAAAAGGGCAGGAGCCTAAAGTAAAAGTATATGAGCTGCCGGAAAACAATGCAGTCACCGCTGTTCACCGCCCACCACCGCTCATTACCACCATGGCTTACGTTGGAGCGGGAGGTGGAGTCCCACACACACTTGGTGCGCAGCTCATCCCCCGGCTGTAGCTGGAAGGGCGGCTGCACGTTGATCATCTGCTGTGATGCAAAGTCACTGGGAAAAGGGAGAGAGAGAGAGAGAGAGAAGATGATATGTTAGGACACCTAATGAATAGGCCTCTGGGTGCAGCTGGAAGGGCGGCTGCACGTCCTCAAAGGGGAGGTGCCTCAAAGGGCGGGTGCCTAAAAAATAGAGCTCTGGCTGTAGCTCTGGCTGTAGCTCTGGCTGTAGCTCTGGCTGTAGCTCTGGCTGTAGCTCAAAGGGCGGGTGCACACGGATCATCTATCTGCTCATCTGCTGTGAGGCCAAGTCACTGTGGGGGGAAGAGCGAGGATAGGAGGGAGGAGAGGAGAGAAGAAATGATTCGAGAAGAAAAGAGATAAGATGGTAGTTGAAAGGAAAAGAAAGACGATAAAAGAGAGTATGAGTGGAGCAAGGGGAAAAGACGTGTGAAGCGAGGGGTGAAGGGCGGGCGGGAGGGGTGAAGGGCGGGAGGGGTGAAGGGCGGGAGAGGTGAAGGGCGGGAGGGGTGAAGGGCGGGAGAGGTGAAGGGCGGGAGGGGTGAAGGGCGGGAGAGGTGAAGGGTGGGAGGGGTGAAGGGCGGGAGGGGTGAAGGGCGGGAGGACACTCACTAGTAGTCGAGGCGAGCGAGTGCTTGTCATGAAGAAGAGCAGCAGTAGGAGGGGACAACACGAAGATATACACAGGGGACAACACGAAGATATACACAGGGGACAACACGAAGATATACACAGGGGACAACACGAAGATATACACAGGGGACAACACGAAGATATACACAGGGGACAACACGAAGATATACACAGGGGACAACACGAAGATATACACAGGGGACAACACGAAGATATGCACAGGGGACAACACGAAGATATACACAGGGGACAACACGAAGATATACACAGGGGACAACACGAAGATATACACAGGGGACAACACGAAGATATACACAGGGGACAACACGAAGATATACACAGGGGACAACACGAAGATATACACAGGGGACAACACAAAGATATACACAGGGGACAACACGAAGATATACACAGGGGACAACACGAAGATATACACAGGGGACAACACGAAGATATACACAGGGGACAACACGAAGATATACACAGGGGACAACACGAAGATATACACAGGGGACATCCCCTCCTACTGCTGCTCTTCTTCATGACAAGCACTGACCCGGGAGGACACTCACTAGTAGTCGAGGCGAGCGACTGTGGTGACCTTTTCGCCATCCCGATACACATCGGTATACATCTGATGGGGTGGTGAGAGGGGCAAGGGGTGTGGAGATGGGTTGAGAGTGGTGGTGAGGAGGTGAAAGAGGTGGTAAGTTTTCTAGTCGAATCAAAGCGCGACGGTGGTGACCTTTGCCCCATCCCGATACACATCGGTGAATATCTGATGAGATGGTGAGAGGAGTACAGTGTGGGCAGGTGGTGCGTGCATGCTGCTACCCGTGTGTGCCGCCACCCGTGTGTGCGTTGATACCTGGCGGCCAAGCGCGTGTTGGTGCAGGGCGGCAGCAACTATGTTCACCGACTCGTTCTTGAACACTGCCTTGGTGCACCGCCCCGGGCAGATGTTCTCCTGGGTCCACGACGGCTGCAGAGAAGGGCGAGGGGAAGAAGGGACGAGATGGGAAAAGAGAGAGGGGGGATGCGATGGGCCAAGAGTGGAACACTGCCTTGGTGCACCGCCCCGGGCATAGCATATGTTCTCCTGCGTCAACGAGGGGTGCAGAGGGGGGAGGAAGAGGATGAAGGGGGGAACACCAGGGATGAGGGATGAGAGGGAGGGCATGAGAACACTGCCTTGGTGCACCGGCCCGGGCATAGCAGATGTTCTCCTGCGTCCACGAGGGGTGCAGAGGGGCGAGACGCAAGGAAGGAGAGGAGGCGCGGGGGATAAAAAGGACGCCGGGATGAGAGCAGGGACTGATACTGCCTTGGTGCATCGCCCGGGGCAAATGCTCTCCTGTGTCCACGAGGGCTGCAGATTAGGGGGAGGGGGAGAGGGAAGTGAAGAGGGAAGTGAAGAGGGAAGTGAAGAGGGAAGTGAAGAGGGAAGTGAAGAGGGAAGTGAAGAGAGCATGACAGGAGGTGGATGGAAGCAGGCTTGGCCACTGCAGCTTTAGTAGAATCAGAAAAGGGTGTTACCTGACCTATCCAGGTGCTACCTGACCTATCCAGGTGCTACCTGACCTATCCAGGTGCTACCTGACCTATCCAGGTGCTACCTGACCTGTCCAGGTGTTACCTGGCCAGGTGGGATCTGCAGCAGCAGCCCGTAGTAGACCGGGCCAGCCATCATGATTCCTGCGTCGTGCTTCCCTGGGGCAGAAGTTTCCAGGAAGATTCCGCTGTTGTCGACAATGTCAGAGCGGGCGTCGGGATTGGTGTAGTGGATCTGAAGGGGGAGGAGGAGAGGGAGATACAAGGGAGAAGGGGGATGAGAAGAGGGTTTGGTTGGGTCAAAATAGGGGGATTGGTTGGGTGAATCTAAAAAGAGAATGGTGTAATGAATCTGGAAAATACGGGGGAGGAGAGGGATGAGAAAGGCGTTTGGTTGGGTCAAAATAGGGAAGGACGAGGAGATAAAGATGAGATAAAGAGGGGATAGGTGGGTGGGTAGTAGGGGAATACTGACTGACACAGGGAACGAACAATTAGGGTCTTGAACCAAGCTCCACAGAAGGTGTAGGGGCGTGTCGTGCATGCACCACACGGCACCGCACAGCACTTAACATGAACACAATGCACCACATGGCACCGCACTAACATCGCACCTGCAGCACGAACTTGGTGTAGTATCCGGGGCTAATGGGAAAGCCAACATCGCGGGGGAAGGAGTAGGGACGCGCCCCCAACCCCCACATGGCCACTGAGCACCGCACATCACCGCACTGCACCGCGCAGCACCCACCTGCAGCACGAACTTGGTGTAGTATCCGGGGCCGATGGGAAAGCCAACATCGCGGGGGAAGGAGTAGGGACGCGCACCCAGCCCCCACATTGCCACGGTGTGGCCCTGACAGGGCGTTGACTCGTGCATGCAATCATACACGCCCTGTGTTGCCGGCACGTCCTTATATTCCTCCCTGCCATGGGAAAGGTAAGGGATGGGGCGGGGTGGAGGGGAAGGAGTGGGAGGGGGAGCAGGCATGGGGGGAGCACGCATGGGGGGAGCAGGCATGGGGGGGTGAGATGGGGGGGTTGGTTGAAGCGGGAAGGCGTAAGGACAGCCCCCCAGCCCCCACACCCCCACGGTGTGGCCCTGGCAGGGCGTTGCCTCGTGCGTGCACTCCTCATACACGCCCTGTGTTGCTGGCACGTCCTTATATTCCTCCCTGCCATGGGTAATGGGTGCGGGAGAGGGAAGTGAGGGGGGAATCTGAGGAACAGGAGCCAGCACCCAGCTGCAGGGTGCTGGCTGTGTGCCCCTGCAGCACCCAGCTGCAGGGTGCTGGCTGTGTGCCCCTGCAGCACCCAGCTGCAGGGTGCTGGCTGTGTGCCCCTGCAGCACCCAGCTGCAGGGTGCTGGCTGTGTGCCCCTGCAGCACCCAGCTGCAGGGTGCTGGCTGTGTGCCCCTGCAGCACCCAGCTGCAGGGTGCTGGCTGTGTGCCCCTGCAGCACCCAGCTGCAGGGCGTTTTTGAGAATTCTCAAAAGCACCCTGCAGCACCCAGCTCCCACACTCCCACTGTGTGCCTCTGGCAGGGCGTTGACTCATGCATGCACTCTCACACGCCCTGTGTTGCCGCCGGCACATCCTTATGTCCCTCCCTGCCACTGGCAAAAGAGGAGGGGGGAGAGGACGGGAGAGGGACGAGAAGAGGGGGAGGGGACGGATGGGAAGTAGTGGGGACGGGAGGAATCACGGCGAATGACGAGGGGGGGACACGTGCGATGAGTGCAGGTGGGGAGAGAGAGGGGGATGAGGTGGTGGGAGAGAGGGGGGGGGAGGGGAGGGCAGCGGAAGAGCAGCGCATGGTGCAGTCCCGAGGGCTATTGAGGCACAACAAGAGTCGTACGGGGGGGTAAAGGGGGAAGAAAGAGGGGAAGGTAGGGGGAGGGAGGGAGGGGGAGGTTTGGGAGGGGGGCAGCCGAAGAGCAGTGCGCAGTGCAGCAGGGAGGGAGGAGGGGGTTGAAAAGGTGAGGAGAGGTGTGGGGGGGGGGAACCACAGGTGCAAGACATGAGGAGCGGGACGGGATGTAGAGGAGGAAAGGAGAGAGACGTACAGGGGGCAGCCGAAGAGCAGTGCGTGGTGCAGCACGGAGGGCTATTGAGGCGCAACAAAAGTCGTACCGGGGGGGGGGGGGGGGGGGGGAGGTAAGGGGGGAAGAAGGGGGTGGGAGGAGAGGGGGGAGGGGGGGGGACGTACAGGGGGCAGCCGAAGAGCAGTGCGTGATGCAGCACGGAGGGCAGCGACGAGTTGATTTGTATGCCGAATTGCGTGATGTGTCGCTTGGCGGTGAGTGGCAGGTCGAACGTCTGCCAGGAGGAGGGGGGGGAGAGGGAGAATGAAGAGGAGCGAAAGGAGGAGGGTTAGGGAGAGAAGGAGGAAATGCAGGGTTAGGGAGAGAAGGAGGAAATGCAGAGTGGCAGGTCGAACGTCTGCCTGTGGTGGAGAGCGAGGGCGAGGGAAGAGCGGGACGGAGGGGGAGGGAGAGAGAAGAGAGGGAGGGAGAGGAAAGAGAGGGAGGGAGAGGAAAGAGAGGGAGGGAGAGGAAAGAGAGGGAGGGAGAGGAAAGAGAGGGAGGGAGAGGAAAGAGAGGGAGGGAGAGGAAAGAGAGGGAGGGAGAGGAAAGAGAGGGAGGGAGAGGAAAGAGAGGGAGGGAGAGGAAAGAGAGGGAGGGAGAGGAAAGAGAGGGAGGGAGAGGAAAGAGAGGGAGGGAGAGGAAAGAGAGGGAGGGAGAGGAAAGAGAGGGAGGGAGAGGAAAGAGAGGGAGGGAGAGGAAAGAGAGGGAGGGCGAGGAAACACAGGGAGGTGGGAGGGAGAGGAAACAGAGGGAGGTGGGAGGGAGAGGAAACAGAGGGAGGGAGAGGGAAGGGGGAGCGGAGAGGGAGGGAGAGGGAGGAGAGGGAGGAGATGGAGGAGATGGAGGGAGAGGGAGGAGAGGGTGGGAGAGGGTGAGAGAGGGAGGGAGAGGGAGAAGTGGGGTGAGGGCCTGAGGGAGGGACACACCTTGCACATGTAGGTGGTGTAGTTGGTGGAAACGCGGTGGTTCACCATCGTCAGGTTGAACCGCCCATCATCGCCCATCACCACGCCTTGCCCGTTCTTCTGCCCGTTCGCCTGCCCCTGGGCATATGCGGCGAGCTTGCCTGCTGACGTGATGGCAGGCCAGCTGGCAGCAGTGGATTGGGCGATGGTGGTGGGAGGGGTGGCCGGGTCGAGGATGGAGGGGCCAGGCGCGGGCAGCAGGACGAGCGAGGTGGCGCCACGTGTCGCGCTGTGATAGGCGAGCTCGTCGGTTGTGCCTGAAAGTGTGAGATATTATAGGGAGGTGTGAGGAGGGGAAAGTGAGTGAGAAGAATAGAGAGAAACACACACACATGCACACACACATACACACACACATACACACACACATACACAGGCCTCCACTCCCCATCCCTCTCACCCATCCCTCTCTCACACATCCCTCCCACCCATCCTCTCACCCATGCCTCTCACTCCTCCCCCGCCCAACGCACCCATGGCCCAGATGACGAATGACAGCGCGCCAGCTGTGATGGGGCGGTCGTTGCAGTCGCCGGTGTCAAGCTGGCGCCACACGTGCACGGTGGTCCACGTGTCGCCCGTGGATTGATCCATGGTCTGGCTGCCGCCCAGCACGCGCCAGTCCTGCTGGTCGTCCAATGCGACGCCTTCCCCCGTCTTGTTGAAGACGAAGCGGTCCGTTGCATACACGCGCCCCTCGCGCTCCGCCACCCATGCTACCATTACATCTGGGAGTGAAAGAGAGAGTGAGGAGGAAAAAGGAGATGACTCTTGAGTCGACTTATAAGGCATCTCGGACCCATCTGTTGCATACACGCGCCCCTCGCACTCCGCACTCCGCCACCCACGCCACCATTACATCTGAGAGTGACAGAGAGAGAAGCAAAGAGAAAATGACTCCTAAGTCAAGCCAAAAGGCATCTCGAACCGATCCGTCGCGTATGAACGCCCCTCGCGCTCCGCCACCCACGCCACCATCACATCTGCGAGATGAGAGAAGCAGAAATATTGATCTTGAGACGACGCTACGGCCATCTCGAGCCGATCCGCTGCCTGCACGCGCACCTCGCGCTCCGCCACCCACGCCACCATTGTACAGAGAGGTTAACCAATGTTGCTCGCAGAGCGATCCCGAGAGAGAAACAAAGCGAAAATGTTTTTTGAGACAACCCGGAAAGCATCTCGGACCGATCCCTCTTGCTCCGCCAACCATCGCATCTGAGAATGATAGAGAACGAGAGGCGAAGAAAAGGTAGCATCGTTTGTTTATGTTGAACCGCGTTAGGGTTCGTCGCGGATAGGGAAAAGCTCCGTGTGTTGACTCAGGTAACGAGCGCGCGGGGCGCGCGAACGAGCGGAGAGAAACGCGAGAAAATGCGAACGAGAGGGGAGAACGCGTAAAAATGCGAACAGACGGGGGAAACGCGCGCGGGGATCGAGCACGGGGAACGAACGCGAGGGATGAGCGCGGGGAATGAGCGCGGGGAATGAGCGCGGAGAACGAACGCGGGAACCAACGCGGGGAACGAGCGTGGGAACGAACCAGAGCCGAACATTCCGCCGGATTCAGAAAGGCCTATTGCGAGCCATCCCGCCGTCTGCGCCCGCACCGCGATGTGGATGGTCGCGTCGCTCGTGTTGGTGCTCCAATAGAGCTCGAAGCGCGGATCGAGCAGCGCCATGCTGGAGTAGGAAGAGAGCTCTGGCAGCGCAGCCGCGTCAGCGCCACCACCGAATGCGCCGCCGTTTGCGGAGAGACGGTGGGACGAGGAGAAGACGAGAATGAACGCGAAGAGGAGCGACAGATGGTGATGGAGGCTCTGCCGCGGCGTGCCGCGGAGAACGGCGCCGCTGGCCGCCATTCTCGTCGTAAAATCGTCCCTTCCGCGCGTGTCTCCGAGAGCTTACACGCGTGGTTATCTCCAAGTCCCGTGGGCTACAGACGAATTTTGTAAGCGCCTCAAAAATCGTACTGCCCACGGCCGCGGCAGAGCTGCGATGCAGGCGAGGAAGATGCTTCAGGTAATTGTGTGGGCGAGGGATTGGAGATGTGTTTGTGCACTGAACGTGTTATATGCTTCCTGAGCCCCCAACATGCGATTGTTGTGGGTGCTTGTGGGTGCGTGAGATTCGAGTGGGTTTGGTTGGATTGAGTACAGACAGCCAGAAGACACTGTACTACTGGGCCAGCACAGACAGGGCCAGCGTCGTGGAAAGTACGACACCCTACTGGCGACGCGGAACCAACAACCCTACATTCACCGGCCATTATCTCCGATACTCAGATCTCGCCTGAGCGCGTTCTCAGGTGTAATCAACCTGGACTTTCTCAACGTTGATTGGTCGTCGCTTTGTAGTCACATTTCTCACGCTGGTCGAACTCATTAGGAAGTGACAAAAACAAAACCATCCACTTTACCCTCCCGACCTGGATACATGTACGGAAATTAAGGTATTAAGATAATGAAGCCCATATAATTCACTTGGTAGTGCTCAGTAGCGCAACCGACCGCTAAATAACGCTACCGAAAGTACTAGACGACGCTACCGAGACCTATTCGGGCATGGCAGAAAAAAATAAATCCCCTAGGGAACCTGGATGCATTTTCGAGAGGGGTCAACCCTAAACACGGAAATGGGCATTTTTTTTAGGGTTGATGCCTCCCCAGTCGCATCCCTTTCCGAGGTGGGTATTATTTTTTTTGTCAAGTGGGTTGCAATATGTTTTCCAAAATATTTGGAGGCTTTCGGTGTTTAGGGTTGATCCTTCCCGGAAAACATATAGTTTCGCTACGGGCATTATATTTATTTTTTGCAAGTGCTAGACTTCCTTTTTTGAGTAACTGTATACGAATATGAGACAGAATAGTTTTACACTATATCGAAAAACTGTGTTTCTGTTGGTGATTACACCTGAGAACGCGCTCAGTCAAAATCTGAGTATCGGAGATAATGGCCGCTACATTCACTGTGGGCAGGGTGTTGCTCATGGCATGAGCGACAGGGCTGCGACGGCATGCGAACGAGGAGAATCTCTCTACGATGTTCGCTGGGGATGATGAAATCGCAAATGTCGGTGGAGGAGCAAGTCGTAGATAGGACGGTGGATGAAGCCATTGGCTAGCGTAGCTGCGGTTCGGACATGACTCTCGTACATTGTCACACGCGTGATGTCCTTGCTTCTCTTCAGGCCTTGCTTCTCTCGGCCACGAGGTTGGGGGGGCCCGCGGGCAGCTGAGGGGCCTGGGGCTTTCTTTGACTCCCCGATCCGACCGATCATCTTTCATCCCACTCAACTCCACTGCCCGTCATCAGAGTACACACCGACGGGTTCTAGCACACAACAGTGTACTCAGTACCCACACTCTTCCTTAAGGTGCTTGCTGTTCGGGAGGAGATGAGTTAAGTGGGAAACCACACTAAATAAGCTGGAAAGTAAGTTCGGAAGCCCAAAAATCGCGTGCGACCACCATGCGACCTCCGTCCTGATCAAACCTCACGGTTTGGAAACATCAACCTCAGCAAGCACTCATTAGCGGCTCGAGATACCGATCTGCCGCCCATACCGCCCATTGACTGAACAGTAATCGAGGGTAATTTCTCACTGACTTTCCGTTCGCCGTTCTACCACAAGCGCAAGATGAGTGAGGACGCGGCACCTCAAGCAATTTTGCATGATCGAACGCAGGATCGCTGATTCAACCGTACTGATTTTTTTTTGAAAACTTTGAAATCTTTCAATACCATTTTAAACTCCTAAAACATTCGATCCTGCGCAGGATCGATCGCAGGATCGGTGCTAGAGGTGCCGCGTCCTGATATTTTCCTGGGTACCTTTATGGACAGCATAGAGTGGTTTAGAATGGTTTAGAAAAAATCTTTTGAGTAGGGAAAGGGAGCATGCATGGAATGTTCTGGAGGAGGTGGTTGTGATGGGGTAGCGCAATCTGTGATTTCGATCTCGTTGTGATTTTGCACGGACTACGTTGTCTTTTATGCTCAACATGCAGCGTTGACTATGCAAACCCTTGTCCGTCTCTCCAGCTGTCAAATCTGTACAGATTCTGCTCAACACTGCACAGTGTTCCACCTGGGTGTTTGTCCTTATATAAACTAGGCTCGGTGCCATACCTACTACCATCTTTTTGCTCATCCTCATTTCTGGGGCTCCTGAACAGCGCCGCAAATAAGGCCGAACTCTGTAAAACCACAACCAGTGCTTCTTTTCAAGTGTGCACTGGTTGCAGTGTGGCGTCGCTTTTGCCATGTGACCAAACAGAAGTACTGCCTTGTACAGTAAAAGTAACCGACAGAAAACTATCTGGCATGGGTGCTTCACACAGACACTCAGCCACCCACAAACTATCTGCCTTGTTTTGCACGTTTTTTCCCCACTCGTAAGCAGGAAGAACAACGGCCTTGTATTTTGATGTGGTCGTCACCACCAAGAAGTATTTCGCTAATTTACTATGCCTATGGAAACTAGGCGAGACGGGGTAAGTAGGAAGGTTTGGCGCAACACCAGCATACAGTTTCGAGAAACGGCCAATGTCACAAAAAACGTTCGGCTAAGTGACTTTCAAAAACAAAGAAACAAAGATCATAAAGTCATAAAGTGTCGAGGCCGGGAAACAAGGAAACAAAGCTCCTCGTAACCTATATTTTAGAGGGGGGTTATGGCGTGTGCAAAGTGCTGCATGTAGCTCGACGTCGAGCTACGTCGAGGTTGTTGGGCAAGGTGGGTGAGCTGAGGGGTGCCATTTCTGTGTTCAAAGTACGCTTCAAAAATTGCTGACGCCAGCATCGCCATTTGTACGGAAATGTGCAATGATGTGGACACAGAAACGGTCAACCAAAGAAAACTTGAGCGAATCTTTACAGTGTTTGCCAGACCACGTTAGACAAATTCACAGATTGGCATAAACTGTAATCTCGAACATTACGAACATTTTCATTTCGTGATGAGATGTTCGCAGCCAATAGACGCTCTCGAAAAAACATTTGCGATTTCAGGTTTTGGTCCCAATTCAATTCTTCCACAGTCAATTCAATTGTTACTATTAAGGCCGGCATTTGTCCTGAGCGGACAGTTCGTCGCCGGCAATGTGTTCAAAGTCTGCCATTCGACGTCGATCGACGTCAGAGGCTCGACGTCACTCGACGTCGATCTTTGACGTCAAAACAGCGTCCAAACTACGTCGAAATACTTCGCACACGCCATTAGCAGATACGAGCTCTACTTGAGGGCGTGTCTGAAGTGCAAACGTCGAGTTTCGTCAACTTTCGTCGACGAAACTCATCCGTGGGTCCCACGCGTTTTGCTGTCTGAAGTGCAGCTCGACATCCACTGACGAAACTTGGCGTTCGTACACTCGTCGGTGGATGTAGAACAGTCCTGTCGGTCCGGTTTTGTAGTTACTGTTGCCATCGTGGGCACCTAGAATTTCGTCAGCCACGTCAGGTCAACATTGATCCACTCGATCGCAGTCACACCAGTCAATGTCTGCGTATTTCAAATTCATCAACACGTCAGCTACTAGCTGACCTGTGATCGTCAGAATATGCGCGCAAACAGTGCTTGGGATCTGCCACGATGTCAACGAAATTCGAGATACGAGAACCCACGCCACATGTTGCGCCTCGTATCAATTGAAAAGATTGACGTGCAAAATGAGAACAAGATTGTTCAGCAAGAGTTGTTCGTGAGAGCAAGATTGAGGTGCAACATTGGTGCAAGAATCCTTCCCGACACATCTACTACTAGTTCTCCATCCATTAACAACTATCTTCATTTCATTAACTTCTAAAGAACATGTTTCTTGATTGTTACCTATCACAGGTGAATTAGTATATGCGTTTTCTCCAAACCGAGATACACAGTATGTCGTCTCAAGACAACGAGCTTGGTGAGGGATCATTTACTCCAGTGAACAACTCAAATGATGTCCCGATGCAAGAATCCACTACTAACCAACGAGTTGCTGGAAATGCGGCTCCAGGAAACGCCCCCCCTCGGATTTCATGGTTGAATCGCCTGCCGCGTCCAGACGCGGAATTGACCGATGAGGACCTGCTAGCAAACTTCTTCCCGGATGACGAGGGTGGTGTTGATGACGATGTACCAGGGGTGCTGCAACCACCGTCAACTAGTACACCCGCAGCTACTCAACCTGGTGTAGTGCCATCTCAACCAGTCCCTGCGCGTTCACCAGTCCCGTCAAGAACTCCCCGAGCACCTACAGGCGGGCAGGCTTTGGGAACGCTACTCATTGAACGGCCTAGGTGGCGGATCCATGAGGTCATGCTTCTCGCTCAAACCAGAGTTGACATCAACGAGCGAGTTACCGCCATGGAGGGGATTCAAGGTGAAAATTACTGGGCATACATTCATGAGCAGGTCATACAGCGCGACCCGACGTTTCGGTTTGGTGTGGATGCTGTCCGGCTTAAGCTACAACGTATGCACCAGCAATGGAACGCGTTACGCGACAGACTAGGCGGTTCAGGACAGGGCATGCCAGCACTGCCACCTTGGTACAGCCTTATGGACCCTATCTGGTCGAACCGACCAGTGGCTGCTCCGGCTCACACTGTGGCCAGTATAACCGTGGCAGCTGAAGATAATACTGCAAGGACTCCTTCAACACAAAGTCAGATTCAGCTTGGCACCGGTAAGCCGCTACCCCATGAATTTACAGCATGTATATAATTGGAGTCATAACTACACACGAGGAGAATGCTAACATCTTTTGGCACCTTGTCTCATGGCATGCAGGAACGTCGAACACATCTACAATGTCCTCAGTTAACGGTCCAAACCCATCTGCGACACGCGGTACTGGTATAGATCTGAATCTTTCTC